GAGCTGGCCTGGCCAGCAGCCCCTCTGTTTCTTCCTATGTGTCTGAGCCTCCAGCTCATTGGGTAGAACCCAGGAGTTGAGTGGGATCATCAGGGAAAGGCAGAAAGCAAAGACAGCTGCTTGATTCCTGCCTGCGGTGGGGGAATGCTGGAGTCCCAGCAGCAGAAGCAAAAATGCAGGGAGGCAAACAAAGTTCATGGCCCGGTAACACCGTGCTGCTGCTGTCAGTCTGTCAGAGGGTTATCACTTTGGGGATGCTTTTAATAAAGGAGTCAGAGCTGTCATCGGGTGCCAGAACCTGCAGGAAACCTCCAGCCCCTCCTGGGAGCGTGTTTTCCAAGCCTCAGTTTTGCTTACCACCAAAAATGAAGGAGGATAGGACTTTCTTCATTCTTTCATCTGCCTGTCAGTCTTAATGTGACACTTTAAAGAGTGTCATTGCTTGAAAGAATTACCAGGGCCAGACAGAGGTGGAGGCCCCCTCATCCCACACACACAGCAGGTGGAGGTGGGTGCGCTGAAGGAATTTCTATTGGGGATGGTCGAAGGGATGTTTCCAGTCTCACTTGTTTTAGGGGTGAGTGTCTATGGCTGTGGTGATGTTTGGGCTGTGATGCCCCCAGTGGCACGGAGAGCATCCCCCCTTGAGGAGCTGTACTTTGTGGGACACACTGCAGCCGCAGCCATTCCCTTTCGTTCCTCAGATTTGAGACCAGCGGGTTGCTGCCACGCTGGAAACAGATGAAGGTGCTTTCTGCAACTTGTGGCTGCTGCATCTGAATGCTGTGAATATTTTGGGCGTGCAGGATCTTACACCAAGCTCTTGATGTAAACAGCGAACACCCTTTGCTCTCTTTGGGGTTCCCAGCCCTAGAACAAGGGGCTCTCGTGCATCCTGACCCCTGCAGTGCAGTGCTGAGCATCCTGCTCTGCTCAGCCCTGGGTTAGGGAGGAGCGCCCTGCAGCCATGAGCATATGTGAGCATATGTTTGGTTCCAGGCACTGTCTGCCCGTGATTCATGGCTATCTGCACTGTGTCAGGTCAGTGACTCAGTGCTGTCCCAGCAGCAGCTCTGTGGCAAGGCTGACAGCACCTGTCTGGGATGCTGTTATTTATTAACACGTTACCAGAAAGGGCGGCATGGGAACAGAGTGGCTTCACTTCCTTTAGCTGAAGGAGTTTTAATGGCACCTGAAGCCTTCTGGGATTTCGGCAAGGTTTTGGTGTCTGATACTTAGGTCTGTAAATGAAGGTAATCTCTCTGGACAGAATCTGAGATTGAGATTGGCTCTTACAATGGAGTCTGGTGCTTAACAAGAGCATGCATTTGCTTTGCAGCATTGTCAAAAAGCTGCTCCAATGGAGTTGACAGCAAAGCCACAGGGCAATGAGATGCTCCAAGAGATGTGTGAGGAGGTGGGATGGGAGGTGGATGGACGTCCAGCAGGGGAAGCACGTGGCCAGGCAGAGCTGCAGTTATCCCCTCTCCAGATGGAACACATGCAAATGAGCAGAGAACACAGGACAGGTTCCTTGGCAGCACCAGGGAGTGATGGGCTTTCATCCTTCTATGATGTTCTGTGGGGTTGCTGGTGTTGGGGACACGGGGTGGCAGTAGGCTGTGCTGTCACCAGTGCTGGCAGAGCCTGGGAGGGCACCATGTGCTGGCAGAGCCGTGACTCACCGGCTCTGTTTCATCTCTCAGATCTTTTGCTTTTTTTCCTTTAATCCACTTGCCGCAACGACTTTATTTTACAATCCATTGCTGGGTTCACTGAAGAGCACTTTGGTCATTAAGCACGTTGGGGCATGTGAATAAATCTGCATCTCTCAACTGCGGATTGCTTTCAGGCTGGTATCAAATCGCCTTCCGCTGGGCTGCGGGAGTTACAGCACAAGCTTTTTGCACTGCTCCATGTCCACCACCTCCGTGCTTTGAAGGCCAGCTGTGTGTGCAGGTCTGCAGGTCCGATTGGTACAAGCCCAGCTCCTTGCAGCTCCTTTCCCATGCCAAAGCTCTGTTCCCCTCTGCAGATCCACAAACTGTTGATCTTTCCTTTCTCTTTGCAGAGGTTTGGGTTCAGGCTGAGCTCTGCCTGGGCGTGCATGCAGGACCCAGTGTGAGGAGGTACTGGGTGTGCTGGGACCAGTTGCTGCAAACAGGATCTAGCTCTCCAGCTGCATTTTTCTAAGTCCAACCCATAGGATGGGAAGTGTTTCAGCAATAAAAGCAGAACTGGGGCATGTCTGAGCAGGGCAAGGGGTCTGCAGGAGGGACAGGCGGAGGGAGCAGCACGGAGGTATTTCCAGCTGATGAGAGCCGAGTGAGCCATAACGCAAGCGCTGCCAGAATCGTTTCCCTGTCTGTTGGTTTCCTTTCCTGTTTGGCTTCGCTGCCTACACAGTTTGTGCTCAAGATGTCTGTAGACGCGATGCTCTCATCCTCCGTAGCCAAAAGCCTCATTTTTGTTCCTACGCTTTGCTCGGCTCCTTGCAAGCCCGTGGCAGGGGGTACAGGGCAGGAGGCAGCTCCCCATGCAGAAATGCGCATCTGATTGTCATCAAACTGCACTCTCAGTGCCTCCTGTTTGCTCTGGATGGATGTGCTGCCTTCCCCGGGCAGCTGCTGAGTGCGGAGGCAGCCCAGTGCCCTTGCTCAGTGCTGGACATCTCTGCTCTCTGGGGTTTTAGTGGGCTCACAGAGAGGAGAAAAACAAGGCGGGGGCTGGAGGAGCATAGGGCTCGCGGTGGGTGGCCAATGTGTGCTGCTGTGTGTCCTCCTGTGGCTGGAACAGCAAGGGCTGGGGAAGCAGATGCTGCTGGGTTGGGGAGCGTGGGGGCTGTGGGAGGCAGCGGTTTGGGGTAAGGGAAACTGCACCTGGAATGTGGTCCTCTGTGGGGTTCATGCTGGAGGATGTGCAGATGGTGGGGACAGGGGGAGGTGAGTTGTGGGTGGGTTTGGTCATATCCCCAAGGTATGGGGAGGATGGATGGGCCTTCGGCAGAGGGTGTCATGGGGACAAAGTGAAGCACTGTCCTACTGTGCCTAGTGAAATGAGGGCACCTGTGGGGTGGCAGCTGGGCTGCATTGCCAAGGATGCCAGCAGTCTGCGTGGGGAGGACAAGCTGAAATCGCAATGGGCCAGAGAACAGGATAGGAGGACATCCTACAGCAGCAGCCAGGGCAGGAAATGTGATCTGCAGCGTCCCCATGCCACGGCGTCTCCATCCCGCCATGTCTCCATTCCTCAGTGTTCCCATCCCATGTCCTCATCCTGCAGTGTCTCCATCCTGCAGTGTCCCCAGCAGCGCCGGCCAGCGCCCTTGCAGGGAAGCGGAGCGCATCAGGAAGCGCCTTTGATCTCGGGTTGCTAACACCTTTTCAAATGAGCCGCACAAACAAGTGCCCTCCTCCCCTGTCCTGGCCGGGGCCAGGCTGATAACACATCAGAGCATACGCACACAGCTGCGATAGCGTTGTTTTATGGTGCTTTGATTGCTGCCAACCACGCCGCTCGCTCGCGGGAACTTCAAAAGCAGCTCTCCATCCCTGCAACGCCCTGTGCAAAGAGTGCAGCGCCGGGCTGTGGGCACACAACGTCGATGTGTGTGCGTGTGTGTCTACGCCCAAATCTTTTTGCCCCGTCACATTTTTGCTATGGCAGCAGGGGTGGGTTTGGGAAACCTCTGGGGTTTACAGAGCTGGATGCGTACGCTGAGGTTGGATCTTTGGGCATGCACTGGGGTGCATGGATGTGAGAGCTCCCGGAGGTGCAGGGAGGGGATTTGCAGCCACTAGCCGTGTGTTTGCCAGCAGCGTGGGAGTTAACGTTGCAATGGGGGCAAAGAGGAGGAGAAGGGCTCAGACCTCCCCCCCCCCCGTTCAGCCCCCCCCAACTGCTGTGATTTCATTGAGGCTGTGTATTGGCCTCCCGAGAGTCAAGCAGGGTAACACCACAACATAAACAGAACATCTGGAAGCTCTTAAAGGGTTTTATTTTTTAACACATTTACAAGAGCCAGGGACTCTTTGCAAACTTGGAGATGCTGCACGGCTCCTTTCCCCCCGAAGTTGACTGTCTGTGGGTGTGGGGCCGTTCCCCATCTCTGTGCAGTATTTCTGGGGGGCTCAGTGCTCGGCCAGGAGGTGCCAATCTGGCTGGCATATTCCTTGCGAAGTCCAAAGCAAACAGATGATAAGTGTGGTGTGATAAGCGAGCATAAACCTATTCCCGTCTTTCTGCGTGCTCCTGGCTCATGTTGGAGCAGGATGGGGACTTGAGCAGGGTTTGCTGGATGGAAAACCTGCTTCACGGAGCAGGGGGGGCTGAGCCACATGGGAGCTGGTGGTGTTGCACGTAGCAATGGGGTTTGGATCCTCCATACTGTGCTGCTGGGCTGAGGGACCTATAGGGGAAGACCATGGGCAGCAAAGCCAAATGGGATGATGCATTGCCATGCTGGTGACAACATCTGCTGTCAGACTGTTTTCCTCTCCCCATCTCCATCCAAGTGGCGGCAAGAAAAAGTTTTAAAAAAAAAAAATAAATGGCTGGGAAAGTTGTCAGCCTGCAGAGCAGCTCTTTGGGGTTGGGTGATGTTTCCAGCCTGTGTCAACCTTGTGGCTGCCCTGCATCCTGCTCTGCACAGTGCTGCAACGTGCCACTGTCCCTTCATCCCTTGTGCATCCCTTGCATGAATACAAGTAAAATGAGCTGGTTCCCCTTCCTGTGCACTCACATGTGCAGTGGTTTTGTCTCTTCTATGGAAACAGCCATTTGATTTCCTCTTGCCAGCCTCCAGCCATGTCTCCTGCTCACCTTTATGCTGGGTGTGGGTGTTGGGCTGCAGTGGGTCCCTGCTGGCCTTGGTGTCAAGCCTTGGAGATGACACTGAGAACTGCTGGTGTGCCTCCCTCATCCATCACCCCATAAGGTAAGAAAGAGGAATGTCGATTTCCTCCATCACAACCCACTAACGCTGGATTTTTCCTTTGCAGGGCCAGCAGTGGAGGCTCGAGGTGCACCTGAGAGGAGAGCCGATGCACTGCAGCAGGAGCAGCCACCAGGACCTCACCATGGATGGGAGGGAGGCAGCACAGTGCCCAGCACCTGCAGGGATTGGGATGCACCTAGGGTCATGCCGTGCTCCTTCCCCCAGCACTGATGTGGGAACAGCCCCAGTGCAGCCACCCACCACCGCCACTGTGATCCGGGGTCCTGAGCTGACCTCACTCTCCTGCACCCACGCAGGGCAGGGATGGCTGAATTACTGCTCCCTGCTGCACTCTGCACATCCTCCTCCTGGCCGGGTGGCCTCAGGATCTGTGGGGCTGGATGGCTGCATGCTCTCGGGTCAAACAGTAGCTCCATTTTTTCCCTTGTGAAGCACCAAGAGCTTGCCCGGTTCCAAGGAAGTGGCTGTGGAATTTTATTTTATTTTTTCTCTCCTCCGTTCTTCTTTCTGAATCTTTTGGGGAGTTTTGGGCTCTTATTGAGGATGCCCAGACCTGCACTGGGTGCAGCCCCATGCAGAGGGGCAAATGCCTCTGGAGAAGCAACGGGAGCAGCACACCAAGAGCTGGCAACTGCAGTGCCTTGGGACTGAGACTGTCTGGGAGCTGTGTTCCTTCACATTGCATGGCTGCATCCTCCCCAACGCATCCCATAAGGGTGAGGTGGGATTCTGGGGGGCACAAAGCCAAACCGCAGCGAGGGGGACGTCAAGAAGGGGAAAAATGTCACCCTCAGAAACAATTAAACTGCTTAATAAAATCCGTTGCCTCTCGGAGTGCTCGCTGTTCTTTTCCGTTTGCCTTGGCTCAGCCACACTTACATCATGGCCCTATCGCGGGGCTGCCGAGTGGACGGGTTTGATTGCACAGGAAACCGGCGCTTTGGCAAACTTTTCTGCCCCGGTAAAGCCAGGCCAAGAGCTTAATGCCTTTGCTTTGCAGAAAAATTCTTCCCTGTCCTTTCCCTCTTTCCTTTCTGCAACCCCTTAACCATCACCCGCCAACTAGGCAGCCTCCCCTCGCATGCCTCCTGCTCCAAGAGCTCCTGAGATGCAGATTAAATCCCCTTAAATCGTGTTGTTTCTTGTCCATGGACTGTGTGTTCCCTCCCACCCTGTAGAGCCGAAGCACTGGAAGGTGCTGTGTGGAAACGTAACATGAAAAAAAAAAAAAGGATGTTTATGTCATGGAAATGTCCTTTGATTTTTTCTTTTTTAAGAGTTATGTCTTCAATTACAAAAAAAAAAAAGAAAAAAAAAAAGGATGTCCTTACATCTAAGAAGCACTGTAGCCTTAGACACGTGTATGAATGTGTTGGGTGTTCAGCTGTGGTGGAGTGACTTGTGGTCTCGATATTGAGCTGGAACAGCAGAACCTTGGTCAGGAACATGGAGTTCTGGGCGCTTTCCTTTGAAAATATTACTTGAGTGTTTTAAGAACCATGTTTTGTGCTTGGGAAAGCTATGGCAGAACAGCAAAGCCCAGAAATGTGTGGACATTGCTTGGTGTTTGGTTTGGTAATGATGGGTAATGGTGGTGTCAAATTTGTTGTCATTGGTGAAGTGTCCTTGGAGGCAGAAGCCAAGGTGATGCTCAGCCCTTTGCCACTGCTCATGTTTGAGGTGGGACTGATGCTCTTTTCTCCTCCTGGTGGAGCGGAGCCATGCCTCATGGAGCACTGAGCAGGTGGTCGGGTAAATCACAGCATTCCCATCCGTGAGCCAAACCTGATGGCACACCAGAGAAACGCTCTTCTTTGGCCAAGAAGAGCTGCACCACGGGATGGCCAACACATGTCCACGTTTCTCTGCAGTAGGATGCAAACCACTGGCACTTCTGCTGGAGTACATCTGCTTTTGGGATCCTTTCTCACTGCTCTTCCCTGCCAAAGCTGCCCCCAAGACTGAATGGGTGCTGCCTTCCTCCCGCCCTGCTCTGGGGATGGACGGCAGCTCCCAGGACCCTTCTGAGTTCATAACTAATATTGACTTCAAAGGCTGTTTGCCTTCAGCGTCGGTCAGTCATGTAATCCTGGCTTGTTTAGAGATGGTGAGCAAACAGAGAGCCAGGCCGTTAAAAGGGGAAGGGCGTGGGAGATGTATTGCTATTTACCTGTGGAACCTGGGAGGAAAACTTGCCTGTCATTCTCGCTAATAAATATAAACTGGAAGCATGGATAAACCCAAGGGGATTTATTAGTTTGCTTTACCAAAGGCAAACATTAAGACAAGCTGGCTCAGCCCCAGGGCTGCCGTGGGCCTTTTGTGTGCTGCAGCCTGGCGCCTATGGGTGCCGATAAGGACGCGCTCTGTGCTCAGCCACATGAGCTCAAGGCATTTCTTCTGCAATATTTCTGTCTCCGTTTGGCTCGGGTCCTGCATGGAAATAGGCACTTGCATGGCCCTGCCTGGACTTTGGAGCCACCCTGGTGCCAAATTACTGCTTCCTTCCCCAGGCGCTGCGGGACGTGGTTAGTCAGTGTGGTGGTTGTGGGTTGGTGGTTGGACTTAGTGAATTTAGTGGCCTTTTCCAACCCTAATGATTCTATGGTTCCATCTATCTTAGCACTCCTTGTTCACCCCAGGGCTTGTGTGTGCAATGCTGCTCAGGACATATAGATGTGAACGATGGACAAGGGGAATTGGATTTGCTTTTCTAATGTGGGATCTCCTTTTGGAGAAGGCTCAGGGGCTGGGAAGTTTTCTATCCTGCTTGGAAAAGGGGGGAGCAGAGCGCAGCCGGGATGCAAAAGGCTCAGACGTGGTGTGAGCTTAATTCTGTTTGCTTCAGTTTGACCAAAGCCACATTAGAAGCCATGAGCCATTGCAGGGGGAAAAGAAAAGGCTTTCCCTCACCTCAACCAACCATCCATCCATTCACAGTTCTCCCTTCTCATCACCATACCTCTGCCCCAATTCATCCATCCCTGCAGCATCTGGTGCACGTTTACAGGCAGCTCAAAATGCTCCTATAACTGTGATTTTTCCTCTGGGCCTCATAAACCCCTTCTGCTGGAGCTGGGGGTGTTCAGGACCTTCTCCAGTCCCAGTACTGGAAGTGGGCAGGTTGGGAATGGGCTGCAACTGCATGCAGGATGCATTGGGCTGTGCTGGTTGCTGCATTGCTCCAGTGCTGGAGATACAATTCCCATCAGTCACCATCTACAAAACTGATTGGTTTGTTTTATTTATTAAAGGGGGCATGAACGTTACATCTCTATCAGAAAACAAGGCTGCAATAGGCCTATGAAAGGAGTATTGTTCCATCGACTCATTTGGTGTTAGGGCAAAATTTCTTCCCTCTTTCCTCAATCCATTATTTGGGACCTTTCCCCTCTATGCTCTTCAGCATCTCTCTCACACTGCTGTTTGTCTGATTTAGAGCAGAGAAGAGCAAAACAAGCATGATAAAAACCCTTTAGAGATTGTTTGGGCAAGGTAACAGCTCAGCTCAGCTCACGTCTTCAAAGAGGCACAGGTGCTCTTCATCAGCCTGCACAGCTGGGGAGGGGATTGGGGCACTTCTCCCTTTGGAACTCTTGCCCTGCTCAGGTGCATCTCGTTGGTGCCTGGAGCAGGCGGGGGTTGTTCTTTAAACAGGGCAGGGAGGAGGGGACTCAGGTTTTTGTGGTGGGATTTACTGGAGGGAAGAAGCTCTTCGCCATGTTCTGCTGCCTGGTGAGTTGGTTGATCTGTTTTCTTCCTCTAAAATACCAAACTTTGCAGTTTTCTCTTCTGTAAGTAGGAGGAGGATGTGGCTAGCTTTGGTTTCTTGTTGCAGCTGAAAGAAAGGGTGATGGTGAGCTCCACCATGGGATGTAGGCTGGGCTCAGGCTTGATCTGAAGCCACCTACAAGGTGGGATTAGTAGGTGAGCCTGTAGGCATTGGAATCTCTATGCTAGGATTTTCTCTTGATCTCCTTAGAGGAGAAACTGTTGTGTCTGGCCAACTGGTGTGTGGGTTTGTGTGCTCTAGCTACTGTAAGAGCTTAAAGAAGTTGGTTTTATCTTTACTGAAGTGAAAAAGCAGTAGTGTATGGTATTTCATAACCTGTGAGAAGGGTGAAGAAGGGTCTTTGCTTGTTTTGTGCTTTAAAGCTCTTTTTCCTTTCGAGAGTAGCTTGGGGGAATGTGAAAGTACCTGGGGACAGACTGCTCTGGATAGACCTGGTGCTTACAGAGCTCCCTGTGTGACCACAGGGATCATGTTGTAGAAATGGTTGTGATTAATGTGTATTACTTCTCATTACCAAATCAGCCTGAAACAAGCCATACTTACAAGGGCTTTCTGTGGAAGAGCAGCTTTGGTCTCTGCAAGATGCATTTTTTTGTTGTGTAGAGCTTTACTGGTTTCGTTCCTATGGTAGCAAGGCTGAGCACCTGGGGGTGATTTTATCCTCTTGATGACTTCCCAGCTGTCCTGGCTGTTTTCAAAGCCCCTTTGCAGGTGTTCCTTACCTTCAATCACTGACCTGCTCCCTGCAGAAGCAGTGCTGGGCCTTTGCAGGAGCTGAGCTCAGCTCTGTGCTAGAAAGTATTGAGGGGAGGTATGTGCTGTTGAACCTCTCCTGGCTGTTGCATGGTGCTCTGTGCTCCTGGACTTGACTGATGTCCATGCAGATAAGCAGGGCTGGGGTTGCATGCCTCAGCTATTGTGTTGGTGTGATGCAGCCAAGGGATTTAGTGTGTGGAGAGGGCTGAACCCAGGAAAGAAATAGTTGATTATTGTTTTCTGTTCTTCAGACAACACAGCTGAGCAAATCCAAGCTTGCTGACTGTTAGTTAAGGGCCTAATCCTTTGCTTTCCCGTGGAAAAATCCTTTCCAGGCATCCTGAGATTTTTTTTAAGAAGGGCCAATAGGGGAAAACAGAGGCAAATATATCTCTCTCCCATTGCTTCAGGTATTTCTCAGCTGTTTCTTCAACTCTTCCCCTTCTTGCTTATCCTCATAAGCTTCCTACCTTCTGCACAGAAACTTGCTTGCGGAAGCCCTTGTTGAGAGCAATGGTGATGCTGTCCTGCCAAGGGCCAGGCTCATGTTCCAGCTGCCCCTCAGGCAGATCTTTCTCTTCCAGCTTGCTCGTGACTTTCCTCAAACCCATAATCATAGCTTTATCATATCAGAAAGTAGAAATGGGCTGATGAAAGCTCCCTGCCCAGGCTGCAGCCACCCTGAAGGGCTGAGAAATGGGAAGGATGCTCTGTTCTGACTCTCTCAGCTTT